CCTGACGCTATGACTGCATTGACCCACTGTGAATGGGTCAATTTGCGGAGATGGCGTCAATTTTCAATGAATGTCAATTGTGAGAATTGACATTCCCACTCATGCGATGATTTCGGACAGGTCGGTATTTATTACCATGACAGAAGAATTGTGAAATCGACTAAAAACTCTCTGATTCTATGTACCAGTATTTAAGTAAGCTATGTCCACCAATCAGAGATTTCATTCTCGCCTTTTTCGCATTATACGTGCCATTGCTAATCAAATCGGCTTGATTCGTAGGAGAAAATCCACTTTAAGCCAAAGTTATTATTTGGTGATTTCTAAACATGTGTGGGTGGAGGTTGCCGTGAGACACTATTTTCCAACGTTGCATCGTACTACTTCAGCAATTTATCCATCCTTTTTCCATGCATCCACACTTAATCCACTCATCTATCCCATTCCCATCCATCTACCTGGCATACATCCATACCCCCATCTCTTGCATATCCAACAATCACACCTTTCCATCCCATATTTATCCATTTGACCGTCTCTGTCCATGGACCCCCCCATTTTTCGTTGACGTGAACATCGTTACTCCATCCTCCATCCTGTGTCAATCCACCTATCTCTTGTCGACGCATCAATCGCATTTCTGCCCATCCACACACTCACCCACACATTCCGAATAAATCAACCTCTCCCGTTTCCATCGATTCATCGTTTCATTCATCTATCTACGTACCCATATATTTTGCACCTGATCGTAACTTCTCTGCACCTCAAGGTCCCTTCAATCTGATTGGTTGGTGTGAGTTCGAGCACACTGAGTTTGAATTTGAACTGATCTGTGTGTGTTGGCTTGTTTCGAGGATGCAGCAGTGAGCCTGTAGAACCTTTAGGACGTCTTGTATGACCCACTCAAATGTGCGTGATTGTGCGTACGTGTCTGTACGCTGGTGTAATTGTGGACATGTGCTCCACTGTGATGTTGTATATAAGGTCAGGATTTTAGAGTGATAGTTCACTTCCTCATTAATTTTGAATTTCGAACTCGACAATTGTCCCAAAAGCAAAAGAAAATTGTTGGATTACTGGATCAAATGTGATGGTTTTCTAGAGGGGCACCCCAAAAGTGGAAAATGAAGTGAAATACACTACCGCCGTTGAGTGGGAAAAACTCAAAAAATAAATGTCGAAAAATCTGTCTTCCTTTGCAGTCCTTTTTGTGAAACAAAATAGAAAAAAAGTAGGAATCTACAGTGACGTGAGATTTAATTACAGCCGGCATTCACGCAATCAAAATCGTGGGTTATCACCCGATGATTGATTCATACACCGCTTGGCAAATGATTGACAAGGCGCATGTGTGCGTGTATTCTCACTTCTTGGATTTCTTCCTATCTCTCTTTTTCCCTACTTACCACCTTTCCTGCTATTTCGTGTGCTTTCGTTAGCCAGCCTTCTCTTAAGCACCGCTACACTATGCTAGACGGAACTGCCACACACCCGCTTAGACATTCATCTCAATTTACCGACTGTCGGACTGTTTAAAGCCAAAGTCTGCACCGATACATCGAGATGGAGGTGTGATTAACGCCTCCTACCAAATTCCTCACTTGGGTTTTCTTCTTCGTCGGCATTTTGCTCTTCCATGTGATTGACATACAGGAGACTATTCCGCAAAGGTCACCTTACATCGAGGAGTTCACAATCTTTATTTTGACAGCGTATTCGACTTCAGCCAATTAGGTTAACTTTCTTTCGAAGAGTGCTTTGAAGATTCAGAAGCTTTTCTCACTTTTGACGCATACTTACACATTTGAAGTGTTTAATACTAAGTTTGGCATATAATGTGCTAATCCGTTATGAAAACTCAGTTTGAGGAGGCGCGCTAAAAAAGGAAGTCGCTAATCTTTTAAAACTTTCTTACCGATGTCTTTATCAATCAACTTACTTGACAAGGAGGAGTGGGAGGATTGAAAACTCCGTCATTTGTCACAGATCCCATTATCAGTATTTTCTCTTTAAAATATAATAGGTTTGCAGAGGAGGGAATAAGTGATTTATTTGTTAACCATTTGCAAGTCATCTTTCATCATTACCTACTACAAAGACGTGAGGTACTTCTGACTAAGTACACTACAGCTGTGCGTGTCCAATATTACTCCATTGGGTAAAGTTTCGACGATGGAGGAGCTTCTTCGGAACACTGCCATGATGGAGGCATGCAAATAGCAAATAAGTTACGATGATTGTCTTAAAAATATGTAGGCTGCCTTAAACATAAAGCGATGGGATGTGTCAACATTAATTACCTCACAATTGCTCTACTGAAAAGTAATCAGTAGATGATCGAGGTACTGATAGGAGAGAATATAGGAATGATAAGGATGTGTTTGTTGGATAATTTCCAAAACATGAATTTTTTCATACATTTGGATTTTTTGGTCCAAAAATGGATTAGCTTTAATTTCTTTTTGCTTTTTTTAAATCACAATTTATTTTAATTCTGAGAGTTGCTTCACCCCTGGATAACAACCAACAAGAATAAAAACAATTTTTTGACAAAAAATGACAAATTGTAAATTTTATCCCCTGAGCTGTTTTGCCTATCAGCGGGTAGCCCTCTAGGAATCGACATTTCTTGACAGACCACTGTGCCAGGACGTCTGATTCAATTTTAACACCCCACTTATCTTGCCAGGGGTTATATTTTTACCTGATTTTTGTTATTTTGCATTAGTAGTCTCGTAAAAGTCAACAAACATTTGATCCTTTTAGTTGATGCCCTCTATTTTAATACTTGGCGCAAATAAGGGGGAAAAGTGAGGAAGAGAAGGAAGAAGGAGGCACCTTTCTCCATTTTGAACGTTGCCTACTAATGTAACTGTCAGGATAACATTGGTTAGCAAATATCTTGCATGGATGTTGTAGCCAGTGGGTGTCAGCAACATGTCAAGTTTAAAAGAAAAGTCGTCAAATATTAGAAGCCTCTCAAATGGATGTTGCATGCCATGTTCTGACAGATGTCAATAAGACTACCCACACCCCATCTCCTGGTAAAACATTGCGTTTGTTTTGGATGCATGTAGCAGGGTGGGAGGATTTACACATCAGAATCAGATGGCATATGCTGCCTTAACATCCCCGCCAACGCTTCATATCGCTTCATGATTCTCCTAGTTTTACTTGTTGCATTCTTTTGTTATCAGTCATGACAGGCACTCCATCCTAGCATGCACACCTCCAAATCACAAATCAAGACCACTCGAGCTATCAAAAATTGACAAATGTTCCTGCTAGTCAGAAAAGGTGAAATTATAGGCGCTTCCTGGATGGTGAGTGCTTACTTCCCACGCCTTCCGAATTTAGACCTCAGTTATAGTTTCTCGGTTTTGTCACGTAAAAACTGCGCATGCGAGCCATCTTATGCCGAAATAAAACGTACAACTAAAAAATAGTCCTCTCGGAATACATTAACTAATTAATGCCTCCCAATTCATGGCATGTGACATCCATGTGGTGGACTTCTTGTCTTTCCTTCATAATGCAAATGTACGCCAACCAACTGCCTCAGCATACACGACAAACTCCATTAAATGCGCATTTTCACATTGTTAATTGCAGGTTAACTAGAAATGGCACCTACTTCCAGCTTCTGATTAAGGATATATGCTATTTATAATCCCTTAGGATACGTTGTTGCATAGCCCTTAGGATTCAAAGAAACAATTCAGCTACAGCATGATTATGCATAGTCGCATAAGATCTAACGAAATTGAATCACGTCCATTAGGTTTGCTTACCTACAGTTTAGGGGAAGTGGATTTGAGGTGCCAGCAGACTGAAAGATAGTACAATCACGAATCCTGACCAAGAAACCTACTGGTGCTTTGCAAGGCATGCTGAAAACAACCGCTTGCATTCTCCGAGCTCCATAGTTTTGGGACTAGTAGATGCTATGATTGCCAAAGCACCACGCAAGAGGTACATACATCCAAACCTTGAAGGAGCTACCACTAAACCCGTCGAACGTTACCTTAACTCAGTGACATTTAACGGTATTTATACTATGGCAAGTAATTTAATTCTTTATGGTAAGCGGATAAGAAAAAACTTCCATTTTACCACTTCCATACTTCATTCCCAACAATATGATTGCTGGTAGACACATTTTACCCTTCGAACAAAAAAAGATGCTTCTGGAAGTCAGGAAAGAGGGAGGCTCTGACCAAATTCGTGGCAGAAGAGACACCATGGACCCTCAATACCTCATAATGGTTTGTCAAATTTGGTAGTGTGTTGCTACAGAATTATCGGAAGTAGTCACTATAACTAAAACAGCTTGGTGATCATTTTCCGAGGCTCAAAATACCGTATTACCTAAAATACCATTAAATGTATTGAATTCGCTGAATAAATAAGTTTCTTTGAAGAATACATTATGAAGAGAACTGGATAAGCTTAAAAAGGTATTTGTTTTACAGGATTCCTAAAACACTAATTTAAGAATCAAAATTAGATACCAGTCCACATTGCATATACTCTGCACATGTACACTCCTCCAGATCTTGCAAAAATGGTTTTTCACTTTCCCACTCCTCAGTCAACTTTTCCATCAACCGATCCGCAAACGTTTCGAACATCCTCTCGTATTTATAATACGAGTCTTTAATCAACTCATTCAATCTTGCGATTTCCGCATCTCGAGCGGCAATAGTGGATTTTGACTCCTCCAATGTTGCATCCAGTTTGGTTTGGAGGTCATTTCTCTCTTGTGTAAGGCTTGCGTTAGCCATGGTGAGTTCTCGCAGTCGATCTGTCAATTTTTCTACAGTGTGTTCGTGCTGCCAAGTAGTGAAGGCTGAGACCTCTTCCATAGTCTGCTTGTAGTTTTGCAGTTCTGCCTCAGCATTAGCTTGAAGATCGTGTGCTCTCTGAAGTTGGACTTTCTTGTTTGAAATATCTGCAAGTTGGAAGTAAAGACGTGTCTCCAGAGCTCTGGATCGTGCCGCTTCCCGTTGCACAGGGTCAACAGTAAGAGATGTTGGCTTTTTCTTTTTTGCAGATGTCTTTGTTGATTTCCTGCTTTTACTTTTGCTTTTGCTCAGCTTCCCCGCTTTTCTTGATTTCTTAGATTTGGCAGGCATTGCTTGTACTTATGGCTAAAGAAATTAAGGACTAAATTAGTTGGAAATTAAGTGTACTACAAATCATAAAAAAGTATAGAACTAGAAATTTATGCGCACATGCAAGGGCTAAATATCAAAAAAATACATTAAAAATAGAGTTAACCTGACTTTAAAAAGCAGAGTACTAAAATTTTTTTGCAAAAGCGGAGCCCACCTGTATTTACAAGTTGAAATTTTTATAAATTACGTATAATATATGGGCGTGGAATTAATAAAAAACGAGTAGAGAAAAGCCAGTCCGTAATATAGGCACAATAAAATATCAAGTACTCGAGAGAAAAGCTAGTTTATTGCGACCATATTTAACAATTAGCACCAAAACAAAAAATAACTGTATTTGATGCGTAATTGGGAGCCAAGTTGCTAAGTGGTAAGGCAATATGTCATATCAGGTCAACAACATCTTTTTGAAAAAGTATGAGTTATCTGGCCTCGAAACTTATTCCTAGTGTCGATTGAATAAATTCTCTGATATGAGACCAAATTTGCTCCGTGAAAAGTTTGTTGATAAATATACATCAAGAGGTAATATAAACAAATTTAAGGTTATTAAATTTTCAAATTATTATGGTTGTGTATTTGCCACCAAAATGCCCAAAGGAGCAAAAAACACTTTGCTTTGGTGCAAAGGACAACATTTAGCCTCAATGCTTGTAAAAAATTGGGATTACGTGCGCGCATTTAGTTGTTGTGAAAATATGCCAAATCCAGGGTAGTTTGTGTCAAATGCATTAAAAAAATATAAACTGACTGGGACCTTTTATCCAGGACAAAATTTTGCTCTACGATGAGCAAATTGAACGTGAGTGTTCTTAAAACTTGCCTTCATATTCATCGACTAAATTGGGTTCAGCTTTTAGCGCATGTAATTGGCCCACCTATTCTTGTTCAATTCTTGCTTGAGCTGTATTTTACCAAACATGTGCTTAACAACTTAGACCTAAAGTTTTTGACACGTGACTAACTGTATCCTGCCTTATGGTTTTTTCTTAAAAGCTATTTGTTTCGATCAATTTATAATGTTTTAGGTCACACATTTCAAGGTGAAATAAATAGCGCTGAATTTTAGTCTCTATTGCTTCGGCATGAATCTGGTCACCTGGCTGCAATTGTTCCTGTTTGTAAATGTCGGTACGGCCAACATTTCGATAGAGATTTAAATTTTCCTTGCATATCAGTTGTTGTTTGGTACTCAAATCCCTTTCTATTCTTTCATTCGCCATTTCTTGCCCTGGAATGTTCCTTTTAAACCCACTCTTTTCGCTGTTATCCTATTCCGATTTTGCTATCTAGCTAGTTAGCTAGATGTAGGCATCAAAGCCCTGCAGATTGTGCTTTGCATTCTTTCTGACATTTTGTTTAGTGCCTATTTATTTTATGCCCTGTTTCCGATTTTTATTTTATATAGTTTCCTTTATTGCGTTCAAACTTAAGCTTTGTTAGCATGCATTGCGGGCCTGTCCTTTCTTTTATTTTATTGAAATCACTTTTTAATCCTTATTTATTGTTGTTACTATGCACATCATAAAATTTGGTTTTGTGAAGTGAGGCAATTATTTGTTTGATTTTCATTAGAAATATGGCTTATGAAGATTTGTACACGTCATAAATTTCTTTTTTCAACTACACTTGCTCACTTTTCATTAGTTTTCCTAGCTTTCTTAACTTATACTACTATTGATATCCCTTTATTTTATCCCTTATCGTAACTTAATCTCTAGTGTTCGCTCGATCTGAAATCACGCTAATCTCTGATACCGGCGATTCACCCGTTCTGATTGGTCAGTCGGTAACTCTGCGGTGCACAGTCAGCTCGCGATTCGCCCATCAAACCAATCTTTCCATTATCTTCCTCCAAAATGGCACAATGAAGGCTGAGAACTGCAAGGCCTACAACACTGAACGATATGAGGTCACCTGTGAAGCAGAGGGCAGTACTATTAACAGTTCCACTCAAACATACCTCTTCCACATTAAATCTGTCAGCTGGATGGATCGGGGCAAGTGGACGTGCCTTCTCTCTGGATCCAGTTCGGATATTTTCCTCGAAGTTCATGGTATGTGTGACTTTACCCGTCCGCTCTTAGCGTCACTTATGCATCACAATAAACCAAATATTAGCACCAGTTTACAATATGGTGGTTGACTTTATTCCCAACATCTTTGGCTAAATGGTGTCAACGAGTACTGCTTCTTTCTTAAAAGTTAACTGCTGAGTGAAAAATTTACACACTTTTTGATCCTATAAATAGCCCACGCAACACAAGTATTTAATTAGTTCTTTATGTATAGCCTCTCCCTTTTGCATGGATCACGAAAACAAAACAGGAGTCTTTACATATCTTTTCGGTTGGATCAATCTTGGGGTCATCATGAGCCTGTCCGAATTCATTTTAATGACCATCTTTTCTCCACAAACCCCTGTCTACTCAAACCCAAGCCTGCAAGTCCCGTCACCGCTGCGTTTTGTCAGCCAAATTGGATGAACCTCGCTAGTACGCTTGATTCAAAAGTCATTAAGCCCAGAAGTCAAAATTCGTGAACGCAATCCCTTAGGACTTCAAACAGATCTTTGTAAACCTAGTTAATTCTTTTGCGGATGGCGAAGGAAGAGAAGAAGCATCCAAAACGGTTAGGTGCAAATTACCTGCTGAGAATTGGCCAATCTTGCCCACAACTCAACCAATCAGATGCATCATTATTGTTGGATAGCGAGGCAGGTAGGTAGGTGGGTAGGTCGAACAAGGCCGTTGAGACGGTCGGACACACACACACACACACACGTGCGCATTTAACTGCACCTGTCCGTCCCACTACTTCAGGCATGCTCTAAAACCTTGCGTGTCTGTCAACCATTGGTTTAAATGTTGACACATTTGCATGTCCCTGTGCCTGAGTCAGAGCCATTTCCACTAGGACGTCGTCAACATTAGCTATTACCTATGCATGCAACCAAGGTCATATGGTTTTAAAATTCCCATGGTCTTCTACTTCCTCCACCTATTCATCGGACTTCACTTGTCATTTGTCGATTAGTATGTTTAATAATGACAGTATTCTTCTGTATTG